GGAACCTTTTACTCGATTATAACCTCAGCAATAGTGTAAAATGAAGTTTCACCCAAATTTGTTGACATTTTGTCCCATCATATGGACATTTTGGTGCCTGTTGCCACCAGTGACGTCATCATAGTATGCTCATTTTTAAGACACAATTTCCAGGTACCTACCGTGCACAAGTTGAAATAGATTATTTTTTTCAGTAAGAAATTCTTGCCCAGCCAGACACTGAAGCTGCCAAAACTCATGTGAGAGCTTCGATAATCTTGGAGCCAGCGTCCTTTTGATAAAAAACTATAGTAAAATTCTAGTAGGTCAAAGTATTTGTGAAACAATTGATAAACAGTTGCAATTATGATTGCTCACATTTCAGAACTTAATCTGCATCAAGTTACAAGTGCATATCAGGTTGGGGAGGAATTAATAGGAAACTAAAACTGGATGTGGTGCATTTTAGTTAGTAATTTGTACCATGAAGATATTTTACCCTGACCCATCTTTGATATTGCTGTTACTGACATAGGGACCTATGCTGCTAATCAGATGTTTTGTTAAATTTTAGGTTTCTATGCAATAAATAACTTTCTGGTGTCCTGTTTCACAGTCACAGACTGTTTGATACCTAGTTATTTATGTTTCCGGTTATTAGCTGCTAGTGCCATTGAACTTTCAGTTTTCATGGAAGTATCAACAAACTTGGATGTGCACAATTAAATTTGTTAAGTTTCCATGGAAACTGGGAAGCAACAGCGCTATTAGGGGGCTAGCAGAGTGCATTGTAGCAGGGTCCTAATCTCCTAGCTTGCTGAATATGCCGATCATATCTTGACATCAAATGTGTGATAGTGGAGGGAAGTAACTCGACCTCCTCCTGTGTTGAATGCAGGTGCATTGTATTGGAAATGCATAGGATATCAGACATGGTTCAGGTTGAGTCATTCCATACTTGGTTTCTGGCAGGTTTTGGGACCTATGGGCTATGAATTGTGAGTATACTGACTTAAAGGGACCCTCCCACCTTAACATTAGTTTTGAGTTGAGATAGCCAAGTTTGCGGCCAGGCTCAGAAACCACCATTTATCCTGGTCGCAACCCCCGCAGCTTGATGGTGTTCAAGAAATTTCTTCCCTTTACTTGCAGGGTGGGACCAGCGTGGTCCCTATCTCTTAACCATTACGGGAATCTGATGACGTCATCAGGCTTTCGAACGTCCGTTAAATGTTTGACTAAAACGTTTTGTAGCACGCGGTGGTATATGCTGCTTTGCGCGCAACAAATGCCGCACTTTCAAATATGTAAAGTCGCTAGGAACAGCGGAGATCCCAAAAAGTAAACAAAAGTAAAAGTCTAATATCTTGAAAACCGGTGAATATTTTTCGATGAAATTTGGTAGATATTCGTTTTTGCTCTTTCTGAACCGAGCGACATCACTTTCATGCCAATTTATCAACTTTTTTGAAGGTGGGAGGGTCCCTTTAACCCTAATCTTTTTATGTTTTTCTTCATAACTTTTGATCCATTCATGATGATAAATCCTAGAATGTCACATCCCAGTATGTAGTCACAGTTGGACCAAGTTTCCTTTTTACCTCCTTGCTTCTCACTTTCTGAAGAATGATTGCTCCTTTCACAGTTCAACCTTTCCTAATCATTACATATTCATGCTGTCTCAGGAAGCTCCAATGCACCTTTCTTTTCCTGAAGACACACCTGCTGAGATTCTGGGAAATCTCTTTCTCACTGCCTCTTTTTGTAAGTTTTATTTTTTTTCGTTCTTATACCCTTATGTATCCTTAACCCTATTCCTGGCGGGGGGGGGGGGGGGCTCAGGAGCCCCCCCTGAGGTTTTTTGGTTATTTCTCCCAAACGCGTTGAGCTAGGAAGCTCAAATTTTCTGACTTTTCCTAAAAGGCTTCTACGCAACATGTCTGAAAATTTTGAGTTGATCTGACCTCAGGTCAGGTCACCAGAGGCGGTTTGGTGACCCTACCTCAGAAAAGTTTGCAATCACGCCAGAGCTAGAGTTTTTGACCGATCAATTTCTTCTCTTCAGGCTTTAGTTAGGGTACCAGTATGTGCAATTTGTATATCTCGGAATTTTGATATCGGTGACCTAAGGTCAGGTCAGTTTCGCGACCTCCCCATTATAAGTCAATGGGGGAAAAATCAACTCCCTGTTTTTACCACTAAAACGGGTCGGAATAGCCCCATATACCATACATGACTTCATATACGATCAACCTTCACTACCTTGAGGTCTGTTTTGCTGTTGGGCAGCTGTGAGGTCATGTGACGTCATCAAAGGTCACCAAAGGTTTTTGGCCAATAACTCCGTACAGGAACAAGATACAGACGCGTGGATGGTCTCATTGTGTTCAGCTCGTCAAGACGCATCGAATGATATACATGATGACCTCGAGGTCACGTGACCTGAGGTCAACCTTTGACCTTGACCTTGCGAGGTCAACATATATATCATTCGATGCGGATTGACGAGAGGATCACGATGATGCCCTTAGTTTGTTCCTATCTTGACTAATTCGAAAGTTATTCGAGAAAAACTCTCTCCATATCTAGCGCCGCCATTTTGACTTTTTCGACCCCTGTGACGTCATCTTTGACCTGACCTGAAAATGACCTTAGTAAAAATTGTAGATCTTGACCGTGCGTATCCGATGCCGTTTACCGTTTGTCGCTATCTTGCTTCGTTCTCGAGATCTCAGGGGGGGGGGGCGAATCGGCCCCCCCCCGCCAGTTTCTTGTCCCGGCGGAGCACGCCAGGAATAGGGTTAAGCATGCTTCAGCCTTTGTAACCGTTTTTCACACAGCCTTGCTCTAATGTCAAAAATTACATTAAAGATCTTCTTGTGAATTATTGGTACTTTATGAATGAAGTAATTATCAGTTGAAGTGATATTTTTAACCCCTTTATGTGCACCTTTAACGAAAACCTTTGGGCTACTGCTTGAGTGAAGAACAGGATATGATAAATTCTAGCAGTGTGATGTCTTTTTTTTGACACAATGCATACTGGGAATATTGAGTTGAAAGTTAATATTTTTGGCAGAAAAGGTTCAAACACTGGATGCACACTAGCATTTCACAGTGAGTGCCTAACTGGGTCAAAATACATTGCAATCAATTCAACCATTTTTACTTTTTTAATTGCTTATTTCTGAAAACAACTATGACAGTAATGTCAGCAGGAGGACACTGTTCTCCTGGAAAGAAAAAGTTCACCAAGAGATTAAGGTACTGATATTGGGCTCTGGATTGTAAATTTCCAGATATAGGTTTGTCATTTAGCAATGCTGAGAAATTGTCATGAATGGAGCAAATATGTTACCAGTGGCACATGGCGTGTGCATGCGAGCACATTTTTACTGTTTCTGGAGAACATCTGTCGATTGGATACTGGATAGTGGATACTGTTATGTAGGTAGGTACTCATTACTCATGTCCACAATGTTTACTGCTGCTGCTTTGCCGCAAGTGACAGCTATGTTTGAGAAACCTCTCTCATCTGTAAGTTATGAACACAACAGTCAAGTTGCCTTGGCTGTCCGTAATCAATTTTCAGAGAGGTTCTTCACATTATCAATTATGCTGACCACACTGCTTTCGCAACATGTTGACCACATGGCATCTGAAACCATGTATGCACAGTTGACAGTTGACACCCTCATACTTGCACCACACGATCAAGCTGTATTTGTCAAGATTGCCCAATTCGTCACCAACATCGCTACACTTATTATTTTCCTTGTTTTTGGTGGATCAGAATGCATGCCTTTTGTGCCCAACTGTTGCTATACGCTCAAAATTTGACATCATGCCCTCAGCCTACCTCTTGGCTTGTATGAGCCCGAGCCCCGACATCAATCTCTTAAAACACATCTTATGAAGGGGTTCATCACATACTTGTTATAAACATAATTTCAAGGTCGAATACCAAAGGCTGTCCAGGTCCTGAACTTTCTTAAATCAAATACTAGTGTGGTGGACACTTCTTGGCTTTCATCACCAAACGATGAGATCCTAAAACATCTAGTAACCTAGCAGGCTACACACTTTGCATTCACCACCAAACATAAACATCACTTTTTTTTCTTCAAATGATACCCCCCACGCTGGAGCTCCGTCCGATTCGCGAGTTCACTAGCGGTCCCGGAAGTGGAGCCGGAAGTGGGTCTGGCGTGCCGCTCTTCCTGTCCCGCGCGGCGTGTCGCTGTCACGTGGGTCGTGCGCGGCGGCCGCCAGCGGATCGTCACCGGCTGGCAGCGGTGCCGGCGGTGTGTCTGTGACTCAGACGCCGACCCCCGGCTATGTGGTGTGTTGTCGTCCCCGGTCCCCACTGTGCTGTATCCCTGGGAGGGTGGGATGACGTGCGTGGTGGAAGGCAACGTGTGTGGGTGGTTCGAGCGTGCGTGCGTGCGTTTGTGTATGGTCTAATGTATTAGCGTGATGGGCGATGATTGTGATGCAGTTTGGGCTGTGCTGGTGCTGTGTTTAGTGTGTTACCGGAAGGTGTGTGAATCGTGCAGATGGTTTTTGCAAAGTGTGAATTGGTTGACGATGGTGGTCAAATATGGCTAGTGCTGGTTGTGCAGTAGTAAATAAGGAGAGTCACTCTGGCGGATGAAACTCAAAAGTGTCATAACTATTCGCGCCAAGTATTGGGCATGCTGTTGAGTGTTGACCTACGCTCGTCATCTCCGCTGCGACTGTTATCCGGCACTCGGGCTATCAGATTATCACTTATCTGGCACTCGGGTTATCCGCTTTTGTCCCTGCAATCTGGTGTGTGGGCTATCTGGTGTTGATATTGGTTGTAGGTGAACAATCATTGCATTCAGGCAAGTTGGCCAGTATTATATTGGTCTGTGTTGTGGCTTGGTCTGGTTATTGCTACTGGATTAAGCTGATTCGACCTTGGCCTTGACCTTGAAGTGCGCGTGTGTGCTCGCTTTCAAAACATCATATTTTTACCGTCTGTGTCACCCCTGCAGGTTTTCTGAGAAGGAGTCGGTAGGGGGTCTGCACCTGACCTCCACCAGGATCATCATGGACGCTCAGAAGGAGCTACGAACAAATGGCTGCGGCCGAGGTAAGTGCTGGTGCCAACAGCATGCTTTGATACCCATCTTCAAGGCCTTGGCCCATAGTAAACCGCTTCTTTCATAAAACTGCCATTCTAGAACCGTTTTTTTGTCAATGCATGATGCAGTGGACTATTCATTCAAGCCTGTGGTAAGTGCTTTTACACTACACCACATACTGAGACATCACTGATTTTCTGTCGTGCTAAGCCAGCTGGCAGCAGGTGTTTGTTCTCGTTTGCTGTGTAAGTTAGGTGGCCAGACTGCATTTTTGGACGGCTGCTATGTGTGCCGACAGTCTAAGCATGTTTGTTTCAGCCCTTCATCAAATCGACACCTGTATATGCATGATGTACTGACTATCTGTTTATGTTTGTGTTACAGACCAAGTGGACCGGATGGCTGTAGGCGACGTTTCCCAGAGGCTGATGCAGGAGACGCACACCCTGAAAACGGCCATCAAGAGCTCGGAGGTGGTGAAGCAGGCTGTGCGGATGCTGTCTGAGGACGAGCGCACCCCGCAGAAGCGACCCTCCTACGTCGGCATCTCGTGCAGCGTCAGCGGCTACAGCCACCTGAGTCGGTACGGCGCGCTCTCCCACTCGCGCGACAGTTCTCCGGCGCGCGGCCTCCGCTCGCTCAGCCGCGACTCGTCGCCGCCCGGCGGCGCTGGCGGCAGTCCGGCGCCGCTGGCCGATGGCGCCACCGTCCCCAGTCCCAGCCGCGTCAGTCTGATCAAACAGCAGCTCAGAGAGGGCGGCCGGCTGACGGACGAGCGCGGCCGCGACGGCCACAGACCGGCCCACCGCGCCGACCAGATCCGTAGCGTCAGCGTGGACCGCGGCTACCTGCGCCGCTACCGGACCGAGATGGCCAGCCTCCTGAACGGCGACTCCTCGCCGCCGGTCAGCGCTAGCACGCGGGCGCCGCGGCTGGACGCGAAGAACCGCTCGCCGAGCGCCACCACGCCGGAGCAGCCGGCCGGGCCGCGGTCCGGTGACACGACACGCGCCGGCACTGAACGCAGCGCCACCGCCAGTGTGTCGCGGTCGTTCGTGCAGGCACGCATCGAGCGCCTGTACGGGCCCGGCGCGCTGTGCTCCGGGTTCCGGCGCAACATGAACCTGAACCGCTCGCTGCCGAGCCGGCCGACGCCGGGGGCCGGCGACTCGTCTCCGGCCGCCCCGTCGGCGTCGGGCCGTCCGGCGCCGCTGCAGCTGACGGTGGACACGGGCTCGGCGGCGGACCGGTCGGCGGCGCCGGCCAGTCCCGGCCTGCCCGTGTTCAGACACCTGCGGCCCGAGTTCCGGCAGCAGCTGGCCGTGAAGCCGGGCCGCGGCGGCCGGGCCGACCGGGAGCGGCCGCTGCCGCCGCCGGCCGACACCTCCCCCACGCTGACGGCCGTGCCACCCATCACGGCCGCCGACCCGCCGCTCATCAGCGACACGGCGCCCGTCTCGCTCGGCGGCTCCGAGGTCGAGCCGGCGCCCCAGCTGGACGGCGAGGAGGAGAAGCCCGGACACCGCTTCATCAAGGTGGGTGGCGGGACTGCCGACCGGCCTCCGTGGTCGGACCTGGGCGAGAAGGGAAGTGTGGCTTGGAGAGGAGTGGCTGAACTTGCCGGTAGTCCTTGGGCACTGGCCTGATGCGGACAGATGATAGGCGAAATGTACCCCAGGCGCGGGTTGGGGTATTCGTTGAAAGCCACAAGGGGATAGACGTCAGGCTCGTTTGTCATATGGCTAAATGGTGCCTCGTTTGTGGCGCAGGATCAGTGTCTTTGTGACAGAGACAGAGTAATTTCGTTGATTGTTTTACGGATTATGGAAGTCGTTTGTTCTGTAGTGCCAGGGAAGCTTAGTGGACATGCGCTCAGGCCTTGACTGAAGTGATCCTGGGTGGCTTTGCCCTGGGGTTTGTGTTCTACTCATAGCCATTTGACAAAATTGATTATATCGCGGCTGATTTTCTGTATTCATCACACACGATTGAATTGCTTTTACCATCGGCCATTGGCCTCATTGACGTGTTTTTCGCGTTTTTTCTTGTTTGTTTCGGTTTAAAATTGGCCTGAACCTAGTTGACCTCTCAGGTGACTTTGGAGCTGCAGCACGATGCCAATTGTGAACCTCCCCCCCCCGAGTGTTTGATATTTTACCAGCTGCTGTGGCTAGACTAACGTGCCGTGACCTTCGACTGTCCACAGATTTTGGACGCGGAAACGACGCGTATATTGGCACTGGCAACCAAAGCCGAGAACGACCTGAACTCGCAAACACTGACGCCCGAGATCGAGGGCAAAGTGCGCGCCGCCAAGGGCAAGGCCAACCTGCTGATCGCGCAAAAGTTCCAGCAGTTCCGCGGACTCTGCGAGAAAAACATAGTCAGTACCCTTGGTATGGTTAGGGAGTTACTCGTCATAAAATCGTTTTCAACGAAATCGTTAAAACGATTTTATAATGATTCTAGAAAAACGATTTACGGAAGTTCATTGCTTTATTTACTTTTTCAGCCTGTCTAGTTTCACTAGCATGTTGCTGATGCTGAAGTGTCATTTCAGCAGCTGAACTTCGGCTGTTGCTGTGGGCTCATGACGGCTCATGACACCCCCAGTTATGTCCGCTTAGCACTGTTACCATGCAGCTCTAGGAAAAGCCTAGGTTTCCCCGTTGGAATATGCTACGCTGCTAGGATAAGTTTTCTTAGAATATGCCACGGCTGATTATCGCCTGGTGAGCGCAGCAGCGTAATTGAACAGATCTCTGGCGTCTGTTCGCGTTCGCTGGAGCCGCGGCCGGGATCCACGGTGCTGAGTGGTCAGCAGTAGAACGTGGAAAGAGGCAAGAGAAGGAAGCTGACTGAGGTAGACTTCTTCGACACTGTAAAAAGTGGAGTTTTACGGAATCATCTTAACATATTAGCATTCCTTTCCCGAGCTCTCGGAGCCACTTGGCGTATATGTGACTGATTTGTCTGTGAGCCGTGGCGTGCCTTCCAAATTATGCCTCACTCGCGAGGCGCCATACCTCCGCGGTACTCCCCTTCAGAGCGCCGACTTACTTCGTGCTGATGGCTCGGACGGCTGCCGGCGGGACATCCCCGACTTAAGCGGACCCCTCTCCGCCTCCGGCGGCGGCTGCCGATTGTTCGAGATCGTTGGACAGCGTTGGTCGGAATGAAACTGCGCGTGACGATTGACGATACGACTCCCAGTGTCACTGGATTCCATTCACTGGCCACGGTCAGCGACTTTTGGTGCTCTGCTCGTTGATGTTGGTGGGGATTGCCAGAACAGTCGCACTCGGACGAGTTCTGCAGATGTGCCTGGCTCGCGGCACTAGCCGTTTCTGATACTGACTCCCAGTCAGCCATCCAGCTTGGTGGACCTGGGTGCCGATGTGTCTCATTACGCCCCTTCACCACTGCGCAGTCAGTCTTGTGACGGTCACCCCGTACGGGTCGAACTGGCTGGTTCCGATCGGAGTGAGTCTGCGGGATAACAGTGTTGACAAGAAGAGCAGCAACACTCCTGCAGCCGAGGCTTTTTGTCTTGCTGCCTTCATGTTAGCCTCTAGCCACTCGCGCTGTTTAACTAGCGTCTTTTCCGTCGCTAAATGCTGGGCTGTGCGTCGATGGCTATCGCAATATGGGACCTCCAGACCCCAACTCATTATGACCATCGCCATCGCTCTAGGATGAACGCCGGTCGGTCCTCACCACTTGACCTGGACGCACTTGCAATACCATTTCCGCTGTGGCGGCCGGCCGTCCTGTCCGCCGCGACTCGTTACTATTGGGTGGTTCGTATTGACTGACGGACCACGGCGCTCTCCGGTCAACCGGCCGTGAGCAAACAGGCGGTCAGCACACAGCCGAGCTACGACGAGCTGGCAGAATTGAGCTGGCTGTGGCGAACTGGCAGCATTGAGTCGAGTGTGACGGGCTGGCAGTGACCGAGCCTGCGGCATTTAGCCGGACGGCTCTGGGGAGAGGGGAGCGTAGCCAGCCTCCGGTATAACACTTGAGAAATACAGCTGTTCTGATCTGTGCTTTATTCTAGCAATGTGTTTTGGTAGACGGGTAAGCTCATGCCGTACAATGTATTATGTTTTGGTTTTAGTGTGTGTAATTTGAATGGAGTCTGTTACTTTTGAACCTCATTGTGCTTGGTTTGACATATTTTTTGTTCCTCTACGCCGAAACCAGTCATCGCTGATGCATCCATCCGGCCACACCTAACGCTGTTATCTGCGTGTCGTTCCACAGAAGGCGCCGGCCGACGACCCGTTCCCGACAACCGGCGACGACCTGCAGGGCTTCTGGGACATGGTGCTGATCCAGGTGCACCACATCGACGCCATGATGGCTGAGCTGGACGCCATCCGAGCCAACAACTGGCGGCTGCCTGAGGTAAGCACGTCAGACCCGAACGATACGAAGGGAGGGACCGATCCTGGCGACTGCCAGAGGTGGACACGCCACACCTGACGTGCAACGTGTGTGGGTAATACGAGGGACTGAGGGACCTAGCAGCTGTAGGAGAGCACACCAGACCCGAACTACACAGAGCACTCATGGAATGAGGGACTTTTAGCGGCGGACACTGAGAACAGCACATCAGTCGCCGGTGCGTAGAAAATGTGGATGCGATACTGGCTGTCGTGCCCATTCAAAGAGACCCATAAAGCAGCCTGTTCGTCCAGGAATCGTTCAGCTATTCGTGACTCGCAGATTTGGGAATAGCAGTTTTTGAACGGTAGTGGACTGGTGGTTTAACCCGTCAGTCGGTCGCTTTCGGTTCGAGTCAGATAACTTTCCGGTCGTATCCACCCCTGTTGGCTATGGTGAGCAGTTAGGGCCTCCATTTGGCGGCCGCGCTCAGAGCTGGGGAGCCGACTCATTTGTGTTGTTCCAAGCGGAAGTCGCCGGCTGTTTGTTGGCTCCGTTGTGCCACGACAGCAAGTCGGCTTAGTCTGGTTGTGTAGTTCAGGGAAGCGTGCTTAATCGGATGATGCATGCGATTCTACGAATTCGTTAGGCTGTTTTCAGTTCAAGGAAACGGCTGTTTGTTTCTGTGCATCAGAGGCAATCCGTTTTACGGTGCTCAATTCCACCTTACATTTCTTATTTCTCACTTTTCGATTGCGCAAAATGGCCTGCATTTGCAGTGCATTCGAAAACCCACGCCGTCACGCTATCCGCTGCTGACAACCTCAATAATATGGCTCGATGTGAAATTACTTCGCTCTCCTGTCATACCGATGTCGGCGTGGTCCGCTGTCGTCTTCCGGCAATTTCGTGAAGCCGTTGGTCAGCGTTATGTGCTACTTTACTTGTCACCGCCGAGGTGTTAACTGAAGTCTTGTGGCTCGACTGAACGGCGTTGTCGCTGGCAAAAGCTGCTTACATGTCACGTTGAACATGGCCGCCATCGCCTAGTTGGTACTCTGGGTGCTGTTCAATGGTTGTCCTCACTATCCTATGTAAGTCCTGCTTATCGTTCAGGCTGTCATGGGGCGTGTATTGTGACTTAAACTCTGTTGACGGGATTGGGTAAATGTTGAAATGTTCTGGGAATCTCCACTCGAACCCCAGTCGAGCGTGTCTCCACGGTCGCTGAACCTGGTACCTTAATCCTTAGAGCGGTATCGGCTGTTTTGCTGGCACGGATGAAGCGGGCTTATGAGCTGCTTGAACGTTGGCTGCAGAGTTCTTGGAACTTATTATGAGGTGTTACCGGCCGTCCTCGCTGTACTTGCCCGCTGTTAGATCGGATCAGTGCGCAGTATGGCCGGCGCTTAGTGCTCGGAGCTCAGTATTTAACTACGAAATATTACCAAATAGTTACATTAGTTATTAGATCGGTATATGAGCAGCATGTCAGGACAGTTTTCTGTTATATAAGTGTTGAGCGCAGAGCGCTGCCGTCTCCGCTCACCTTTGTGTGGGAGTAGCTGAACGAGCTGAGCGCTGCTGGCGTATCCGCTCAGCTGTGTGCCGTTCGCGCTGCGCCGCTCCGCCACTTCCGCCCCGCCGCCCGCCTCCGGGCAGCAGCGGCAATGCGCCCCGGGCGCTCGTTCGCTCCGGCGGCTGTCGCTCGGTGAAAAGACTTCGCTGATTGCTCTCAGGGCGCGCTGCCGATCGAGGCGCCGGTGGTCGTCGGGCGCCGGCCGCTGCTCGATAGTGGCGCCGTCACCTGCCAGTCTCGGTCTCCGTCTTGGTTCCGGTCCCGGCTGTGTGCGTGCCGGTCGCCGCGGGGGACCGAGAGATTGGCTGCCCCCCGACGGGTGCTGGAGTGAGGACGGGCGTCGACCGGATGTCCATGTCGGCGTGATGAGGTGCGCGGCATGGCCGGTCTTACCCGGCGTGAGCTCTCCTCCCCCGATGTGATCGCTGCTTCTCGGTGAATTCCCTGCCCGGTACTATTTCCTCCTACGTATGCTGTACGATATGCGGTTGTATGATCTGATCCTTTCCTCTATATGCGACCTTTCCTGCATCATGTAATTTTCTCACCTATCTTCCGATCCTCTTCCTCGTGTACTATCTGCTCCCTCACCTTACGATCCCATTTCCTACCTTACGAATCGCTCCTCTCCCCATTCGGGCTGGACCCAGCCGAGCCGCCTCCCCACCCCGGCTTGCGGTCGGGGCGAGCTGAGCGGTTTCGCCTGTCGCCTCCGTCCCGGCGGGTCGGCGGCCAGGGCTCTGTGGCAGACTGATGGTCGCACCACGCGGCATCTGTCTTCATTGTGGTCAACGGCCGGCACGGGACGACGGCGCGACGGAGGGAAAGAGTCCGTCCCCCTGAGTGGACGGCGGAGCAGAGATCAAAATGGCGCAGTGGGTTGTAGAGAGTCTGCGGTCTTATGGGGGAACGGCGAAGGATTTAGCACAGCTTTTAAGTTAATGACACTGTAAAGAGTTTGTCAAGCTGCTATTTTATTGCTTTTTTCTTCATGTCGATGCCATTGGGTCATTCTCTGTCAGGTCGTATCATTTTGCCATTTTCTGGGCACCCAATTACCGCCAACGCTGCTCCGCTGCAGTCTGTCATTATATTTTCTCTATCCTTCTCAACGTTTTGCAATCTCGGCCCATTATCTGGCCCCATATTTTGTCAGCCGGTATCTCCAGCTGCCGCTCAAGTTGCAGTCTCTGTTCCTGTCCTTCCTCCTAGCCATCCCCCTGCTCCCCGCCGTCCCCACCCGGCCTCTGACCCCGCCTTTCCTCCAGCTCAATCGCAGCGCTCGACCCGCATCAATATGGACGCAGCGACAGAGCGCATCATTGTCAGTCACGCCGCGCCCGCCGACAAACGCTCGCACACCGATCGGTCTGTGTGGCCGCCACATGCAGCGAGGGTCCGCGGCGCGCGTGGGCGGTGCTGGTCCGGAGTTCCGTCAGGTCTGGCCACGTCCTGGTCGGGCTGTGAATACTGACCGGCGGCCCCCCCCCCCCGCCCCCCAGTCGGCCGTGGCCGGCCGGGAGCTGTTTTTGCGCAGTAATTGGTCGGAGTCTCTCCCTATATCCTAACTAGCCGCGCCGACGACGGGCGGCTCCCGGGGGACCGACCGAACACGGATGTCCGGCAGCCGACGGGACTGACGGGAACTCCGTGGAAAGAGGGTGCCACCTTAGAACTGATACTAGATGGATAGTTTATTTAGTGGTTGTTGGTGTTTAATAGGCGTCCCATGCCTCACTTTGGAAGTATCTGACTCCCGATAGTAATGGGATGAGCTTGCGTCGCTCCGTCACTCAATCAGCTTCATTGCTCCAACAAAAGACTAATGAGGATGGTATGCTGTTGGTGGGAGCAGACATAACCTTTTGAAGTCAGTGGGTGGGACGGATTCTGTCCGGCTATGTCGTATGCTGACTTTGTTTTATGGATTCTACTGACAACCTGGAATTCCGCGATCAGACGACAAAGGTCAGAGTTTGCGCAGCAAGTTCTGCTTAGCGCGAGTTCGGGGGTGGGGTCTTTCCGCCCATTCAGGACAAACTAAGTTTATTATAGGCGAGCCCGTACACACTTATCTTCTCAAATCTTGATGTGAAGTAGCTGCTACTACTACTGAAATGGCAGCGATGGTGCTGACACTAGCTTGCTGGCCACCAATTCAACCATTGCGACTAAATTTCTAAGAATTAAATAGATCACTGTTCACAGAAATCATGTAAATTACGTATGCCCATAAGCCCAGGATGTCTACGGTCTAGACGCAGCGATGATAGTTTTTTCCCTGTAGTTGCATCTCGAAGAGCTTAAAAGTCTCTGAACATGACCTAATGGCGAATGGCGATATTGTTAGCCTTCAGACGAATAGATTGTCAGTGATCGGCTTTGTCGCGAACTATGGCGGGCTTTTATTCCTTTGGCAGGAGTTTTTAGCGCGACCGTTATTTTTCCTGTGACATAAGGAGTTTGTTGAGTTACGAGTTGTAAGCTTATGTATTTGGTGCATTATTTTTCATGGTCAAGTGTGGATTCGGAGGCTACGGAAATGCAAGTTCCTTCAACAATTCAATTTCATCGGTATGGTTGCGCTTCGAGCTGTTTTGAATTATAAAAGGCAATCAAGTCTGTTTCAACGGACTTCCTATTTGTGGTTTATGACAAGTGTTTGTCAGACGACGAATTGGATCATCCAAAGCTTATTGCTTACCATGTCCTCGTCTGCTGTGATAAACTATGTTCCACTGAAAGCGCTGTGAATCCGCACCGTCTCCCTCACTCAGCCTCTCCCTCCCATTCCCTCCCCGGGTTCCGTCTCGATGTCACCGCTACCACCCATTACAAGATGCCTGCCACGCCCTGCGTCCATCACATGCTGTTCGTGCCCCGTTCGGCCTGTAGCCGCGCCTGGTGTCGCTTTTTGCCGACCCGGTCGGGATGACGCGCTCTGTTTGCCGATGATTAGCGGACACCGCGTGTGATGCTGATGTGTTTGCCGCCGGGGTCTGATAGGACGGCGGCCGTGCGCGGTGCCGTGATCGGGCTTCTATCGGTCGTGCGCTGGACGGGAAGGGGACGGGTGCCGCTGTGATCTATATGCTGCGCCGCGTGATCGGATCGACGGGCCGTGCTCTGTGAGGGGATTCGATGGACTTCTAAAAGAGCTTGACCAGCAATTGGGTGTCCATCGATCACGCAATATCGAAACTGCGAAACTAGCAACTACTCCAGTCTGTTTCTGCGATCTTTAGAACTTTTGATGGCTTCAGACTAGTCTGCTGGTTGTCTATTGTCCGCTCAAAACATTTTGTTTGTCACTGTCAGACTGGTCATACGATTTGTTAGTGCCCGCTTTGATAGTTCCTGACAGTAGGACGATGAACTCTTTCAGTCGGAGCGTCCCGGTTTTCTGCAACATCTCTGCTTTCACCCGGCGGTATTTCACTGGACGCTGCTACCACGCTGCTATCGCATTTCGCGAGCTGACGTCACACTTGTGGTAGTGTTGGAGCAATGGGCTTGTTGATGTCTCCACGGAAACCTAATTTGACACGTGGAATAGCAGTGTGCTGCTATCATCTGTGAAACACCACCCACGGGCCACGAGTCACACCAGTTCACTGTAACCTCCCTGATTTTACGGGTCACACAGAGTCTATGTAGCATTCATGACTTCACCGATGTAATACCGGGGCTTTATTGCCCCTAAATTACGGGGAGGGTCTTACACCATGTTCTGGAATCTGGATTGACTGGGTCTCTGTAGCATCCATGAATAGATCAGGATCATGTCGAATTTGTCGATTCTGTCACCTCCCAGAGTTGACCTGAAATAGACCGGGGCTTCACGGCGGAGCGCTGCAGTGCGCTGCGCGCGTCGGCTCGTTGGGTTTCCATGGCAATATCAACAAACTTCACTCTGACGCTAAGCTATGACGTCATCGCAAAACGCTGGCGCGCCGCGGCGTTAGCGCCAGTAGCACGCTAGCAGTATTCGCACTCAAACCTCTGTTCTCTTTGTACTTTGTTCTTTAGGACCTCTGTTCCAAACGCGATTCATCATAAGCTAACGGATCGCACGCAACGTTATTCGATTGACGTCAGGGGTACGCATTAACTCCTAGCGCGCTGCAGCGCGCGACGTCGGGCGGTGAAATAGGGCCCCGGCCTCCGCATCCCCCTAAGTTGGCCCGGGTCGCACCAGATCCCCAGTGTATCTGACGTCTGGTGATCGGTCACAGCGAGAGAGGGCGGCTGACGCTGTCTGGCCGCTGTTTTGCGCCGCTCTGAAAGAGCCTGACTCCAGAACGCCCATCTGTCAATCCTAACGATCACATTGTGAATTATAGCAGACTCGTTCAATGTGGCTGCCGGTCATCAGGCCGTTTTTCCACCGCTGGTAGACTTTAAACGAGGACATCAGCAGTGGGGAAGTGGTGGTTGGTATTCTATGTATAAGGAGGCTGTCCTACCTCCCAATGATTAGGACCGACTCGTCCCTGGGCCGGTGCCAATAGATCGGAACTGAGCGGCGCAGCAGGGTCGCGTAATGAGTGTGCATGTCCCCGCGGACGGACTCAGAGGCGGACCAGTCGCCGGGATTGGGTGGGGTCGGGTGTCGGCGGGCTGGGCTGTGTCCGGCCGCGGCCAGGCCGGCTCGCTGGAGCTGAGAGTGGAGCCGGGTGGCGGAATTAGGGGCTGGAGTAGTCGATCGAGATATGGTGTTTGCCAGATGTGTGGTTGGCGGTCGATACTCGAATGCTCGCATGAGTCGTCATAGACTCATAAGTGTAAGAGTTTATATTTTTATTTTGGGTTAGTTTGATGGGTGGGACTCCGTTCCCAGTGCAGTGAGTTGCCGCTTTGCATTGTGTAGAGGAAAGGGGCGATTGGTGCAGTTGAAGAAGCTGCCACAAGGTGGCCGCTACGGCGGTGTGGTTGGCTCCAGTGCCGCTAGGTGCCGCTGGTATCAATGTGTGATCGCCGTTCCCGTGTTGTCTTCTGACAAATATCCGCTCGTGACCATTTGGACCAGGGTGTATAGAATGAAATTTGGCCAACTGCTGGTAGGTCTCCATCCTCCCCCGTGCCGAACGCGGCTGTTTGCCTTTTCACAGCGCAGTTGAGTGTGGATCTCACGTTATTGTGGCAAAATTATCCAAAAGGGGTGATTGAAGGGTTATATAACACACTGTGATGGATTTCTATGTGACTTTTGTCTCGGCCTGCGCTGACTGTTGTTTTGTTGTGCCCCAGGTGTCACCGCCGCGAGAGTCATCACAGAGCGCCAGCAGCACGCCCAACAGCAAAGCGTCCAACGGCTCGCGGCGTTCGGCGCCCTCCGACCCGGCCAAGGCGGAGGCGGCGCGCGCCCGCTCCGCCGCCCGCAAGAAGATGATGGAACAGCGCCGCCGGCTCATCGAACAGAAGCGGCGCGACGCCAAGGCCAACGGCGACTCGGGAGACGTCGAGATCTTCGTGGCCGACGACAAGTGAGGGCCGGAGGCGGCGGCGGTCTGGCCATGTGATAGCTGTGTTCCCGGACGGCCGGAGACGCCGTCCAGTGGCGCGGCGCCACTCCAGACGCTCCCATCGCCTCACTGTGCGCGACGGAGACAGGACTTTCACTCGATCAATTCCAGATGACAGAGACACAAGCGTGCACTGTAGAAATTGACATTGTGTGTTGATCGTCGTGTTTAATTCTATCTACTAATATGTACAGACCCAAGACAGGTGGTTGCTGGAGACGTTTTGTGTGCGAGGATCTTTATGGTGCTGCGTGGCTCCAATAGCTATGGCCGTGAACGTATTGGGCGTATGAGTTTTAATTTATTACCTTGATGACCAGGTGTTGGAGCTACGTTTGCGCCTATTGCTGCGGGCTCTGTCCCAGGCTGGCGGCTCGCCGATCGGGGCTGGGTTGGAGGGGGAGGGGGTACCGGCATCTAACGGTCGGGGGGCGGGGGGGGGGGGGCAGGCGTCGCCGTCAGGTTGTCAGCTGAGAGAGAAGCCCGTTGTGCCCGGGCCCGTTGCGCCGCCTCGGCCCCGGCGACTGACGTATATACCGCCAGCTGCGCTGTTTTGGACTGTGTTGCCAATCAGTCCGGTTGAGTCGTGCTTTTGACACGCCCCGCATGCAGTGGTTAGATATTTACGTAGGATATATTTTGCTACCATGTTTTCTCTGTCTTGAATAAATGAATTACTTTAACGGACAACAGTAGTGACGTTTTTATGTTTAGACCGTTCACCGTGGATATGCGCACTTTTCTCCACACACAAACGACTATAAAACAGGACATTCTTTACACCATATTTATTTATTTATCTCTATGTAGTCACGCACAGATCAGTGAGCGGTCTGGGAAATGGAGGGTCTGATCCGATCCGGCACGATCCGGCGTGGTCAAAGGCATACGGGGGGGGGGGGGGGGGATTTCGCGGACTCAGGTGGGCTGCGCGACAGTGGCGGGTGCCCCCACTCGCCGTCGGTCGGTCGCACACTGTCCCGTCGGTGACTGCGGCAGTGTCCTCGATCTGCCAGGGTGAGAGGTCACTCGGCTGACCAGACTGTGCGGGTCGGGCTCAGGTCACTCGGCTGACCCGACTGCGCGGGTCAATCTCAGGTCACTCGGCTGACCCAACTGCGCGGATCAATCTCAGGTCACTTGGCTGACCCGACCCGCAGCGGCGCGCAGCTCGGCCAATGCCATCGTCCATCTAGCGCCGTCATAAATGTCTCGTTCAGGTGCACCTGACTCACTTACTCACTCGGTCTGTGGCGTCGCTCGGCGTCGCCCCAGACTGTCTCGCTCCCGTGAAAGACGCCTCTGTCGCAGTTCGCACGCCACACGCAGTCTCTCGCCTCTCCTCTGTCTCTCACTCCCGCCTCTTTCCCACTCGCACGCGCGCTCGCTTAGCGTCCAAAAGGCGGCACTCAGAAATCATCGGGATCGTCGTCGAAGTTTTCGATCTTGTTGCGACTCCAGCCGGCGGCCGAGCCGTGCGCGCCCGAGTAGTCGCTGCGCCAGCTGTCGTAGATGTTGTAGTTCTTGGTGTCGTCATTCCGGGCGCGGCTGGCCGAGCGCTGTAACGCAGACAGAATGGGATGTTGTTTTAGGTGAAGGCGGATTAACATTGGCGAAGTCAGGCACAAGTTGGCGAAGTCAAGGTTGAATGAGCTCATACTTTGACAGACGGTATGGGTTATTTGAAAGCTATTTCAATCGCAAACTGTAACTTATGAAATCTGGTGACATTTAGGTACCTAAAACTCCCGAATTCCTCCCGACTTGTCTGATAAATTACATTCAATAACGCACTATGAGGTGGACCGATAGACACCTGATCTGCACATTTATGCTATATCGGTCCTATGCTGACGTCAAACGCCATTGGCCGGTAAATTGAAGGAAGGCGTTCTTTCATTCAGACTGAGTGCCCAGAGGGAGTTGGGCTCCCAGGAAGACGGTTGAAGGAGCCCCATTAGCCGGGCACGTGCTTCCCGACGGCGTTTGATGACATTCCACCAACGAGCCGCATGCAAATGTGCCGATTTCAAACGGATGGGCCGGACTGAGGATCCTTCACTAAGGCTCGGCGCGTGGGTTTGACGACTGTCATCACGGTCGGCCGGCCGCTGTTAAACCGTGCCGTGCCCCCTGTGCCCTACCCCTGTGCCATGTCCCTTGTGCCCTGCCCCTGTTAGCCGTGCCGTTCCCAATGTGCCTTGCTCCTATGCCCTGCCCCTGTGTCCTGCCCCGGCTATGTGGCGTGATTTCCTCTTGTGCCATATGTCCAATGCCATAGGCGGCGGAACGGGGAGGGCACCGGGGCAGCGTGCCCCCTTTGATTTTGTCATCTTAACATTAGCCCTATGGGCGTTGCATGGAAAGAATGGGGACCAAAAGCCGACAGTGCCCCCTCCCCCCACTCAATTGAAGGTGTTCCGCCGCCACTGTCCAATGACCCTTCCCCGTCCCCTCCCCCCCCCCCTGTGCTGTGCCGACCCACTGCGCCTATCTCATGTGTCCTGCTCCCTATCCCGTTGCTTTGCCCTGCCACTCACCAGCCGCCGGTCGTAGGTAACTTTCTCGTTGTTCCACGCGTCATCCGGATCGTAGACGTCCTCCACCCCGTAGTTGTCGACGCCGGCCATGTGACTCTTGTCGAGCTCATTGAGCATGTCAGCCGTCAGAGGCACGGTGGTGCGAGGTGCCCGGGCACGCCGCTTTCGACGGTTCCACATCTGCAATGGAGAATGGACGCATTAGTTGTGTGAGAGAAATAGTGGGAGAGAAAGAGAGAGAAAGAGAAAGAAAAAGAGAGAGAAAGAGAGAAAGAGAGAGAGAAAGAGAGAGAGAAAGAGAGAGAGAGAGAGAGAGAGAGAGAGAGAGAGAGAGAGAGAGAGAGAGAGAGAGAGAGGGAGAGGAGGTGACTGAATGCGGCGTTAAATTGGACATCGGATGTCGCTTAGCTGCTCAGTGCTCAATCAGCAACCTATAAACCCATAAGGCTCACCCGTGAGGCACTGTTGTAGGAAGTTCGTGCGTCCCACGCGCTAGATAATGAATATACATGCAGGTAGAAAATAAATGTATGGAATAAATCCGTGCTCGGTGGCACGACTCACAAACTATTACCGTTAATTCGTTTGAAGATTGGAACATTCATTACCTTCTAACTGCTTCTACTTAATCTCCGGCAGTCTGTGGTAGCTAGACGCTTTCAACTCCCCCGGGATGGCTCTCAACTCCTTCGACAAACACCAAGTTCGTGCACTGACTTGCCGACAAAGTTCCGGGCCAAGTTATTGCTCCTTTATTGAGACTGCTTTACCTGTGCGCCACGAAATCTGCTATCCTACAGCATGTTCCGCTTTCAGAAAGGTAGAGAGGAGTCGACATAGCTCTCTGAGCGAGCAATCGTTGTCACGATGAGCGCATGGTTTCCGTCGGCATTGGAATGGATTCCGACTACATCCTGGTGTCAGCTGGAAGCGGCTCTGTTGGAGAGAGCGGCAGCGGCATTGGCGGCGAACGGCGGACAGAATTGGACGTATCGAGCTATCGGAGCTCGGCCCGCCGGCCGTCGGTCGCTCGGTCTGAATAGGACCGCTCGGCTGGTCGCGGCTGAATGGACCGCACACCGACTGCCGGAGCGCTGACCAGGCGGCGGACGGCTCTGCCGGCCGGCGGTGGCAGGGCGGTGACAGAGCGGTGACGAGGTGAATGGCAGACGGAATCGGTCACCGCCGCCACGGCCGACCGCCCGCCGTGATGACTGCATTCGGAGGCGCGCTTACGTTTACCGTAACTGATATAAATAAAAAGTCAAGGTCGATTTGATGAGCAATGACGGTGCATAATGCACGTATACCCTCATCTATATCCATTCTCAGGGTAAATGTGCAGATGCATATCAGTGAAAGGTCGCCGTTCCCACCTCCCCGGACTCTCCCAGTCTCCGTCCCGACTCCGGTTCGCAACCCGCAAGTTGCCGGTTTTACCGGGCCGATAGTGCGCTCTGACTCGACTGAACCTGATGAACCACACGAGCGGACGGCAATCTCATCTGATGACTAATTTTTAACTCTAAAAATCCCTCGACGCTGCATTAATGGCGGCCTTGAGCGAGCCAACTTTCAGACAAAGGATCGGCTGTAATCCGCCCACAGACCGCCCAAGCTGTGTAGCCGGTTATCTTCTAAGCGGCTCTCAGGCGGCTTCTCCAAAATTGGTTCGACTGATTTTGGCTGTGTAAGCTCGAGTCTGGTGTAGTGTAGGTTGGCTTATGCATAGTACTGAACATGGGAAACCATTTCGGACAGGTTATTTATTGCTCAGAGTCAGGGTGGATACTGGATGGTGGATACAATCACTGTCAGTGTTCGGGCTCACCGCCAATGACCGTTGCAGTCCCGGGGCTCTGAAATCCAAATCTGTGTTCTCAGAGCACGGCCAGGAGCAATGCCATCGTGTTGGACGGCTCAAAGACCGGTTTGAGCGCGCAGGCTAGCGCTGAGAATTCTCTCGGAGAGACTGAGTCAGCCCGGACGCGGAGCTCTGCCGCGGGCCGACCAGAACTGTGTTGGCCGTTCCCTGGCCGGTGCCCGTTTGTCACGGCAGAGCGGCCACACCGCAGTGGCCACTTCCGAGTCGACTAGCCGCCAGCAGTCGTGATAGATGGCTGAGTGAAAGGCTTTTGGACCGGAGCGGACATACCCAACAGACAGACACGGCTGGACTAAAAGGTGACGCACCAAGCTGCAGTAAAACATGCAGAGCATTATCAGATGGGGATAACTGTGAGATCTGGGCAATGACCTGCCGTTCAGACAAAGCGAAATGTCTTGCGGCTATCGAGGAAGTCCCAATGTGTCGCTTGGGCGGAAGTCTCTGGTCCGTGCCCGCCGAATGGCCCTTACCACCCTGAACTGGCCGTGACGCGAGCCGTGATGTCGCCTCACCTAATGTGAACAGATGGACTGTATCGGTGGCGAGCTCGACGGTCACTAGTATGTAGTCGTCACTTGTGACTGAGAGCATAACTTCAGAGCGAGGGGTGAGCTCTGACAGCGCCTTTCTGGTGTCGGTGGCCGGAACAGCACCCTACCTGCAGGCCCGTGACTAATCGTCTTATGACGGCGCCACTCCCAGTGACCATGAGAGTTACATCGGTGCTGGCTAGTGGTCAGTGGTCACGGCACCGCAAACACATGAGTGACCACGGTCAGAAAACAGCGGTTTATGCGACAATACCCGCTTTCAATAGAATTTGTAAAAGAAAGTGCAAGTATAAAAATATTAGGAGCATCACATCACTTTCGCCTGTAACACAGGCAGTGGACATATGGTCCATTGTCATTGACCATATGCATTATGCAATGTGCATTCCAAGACCGGGCAATGCGCACTGTCGTCTTCCAGGCCCATTACCAGAGGCCAGAGGGAAAACTTTTACCCTCATGGGAATATTTATGACCCAATCGCGCCTTTGGTACAGTTATGTAAGGTGACCGTATCACGGTTTACCTCGTTAAAAGTCTCGTCGGCCCATGGAGCCGGTGTGGGCAGAATGTCACCGTCTCCAGGCATCGCACGGCGACCACGTCACCCGCTGAGAGGCCAATCACGCCGGACATTAATCTCTGGCCGGGACACGGCGACAAAGCCTCTCTCAGGACCCGGACTGCGATCCTATCGCCCGGAACCTGTAACGCCGGCGCCGGCTTCTCCAAGTCTAGGGAGTAGGGAGTGACCACACCCAGCCCCCGTGCCAGGCGCCGGTGCCACGGACCATGGAACGTAGCTCGAACCAAGTTCCTCGGAATTCGGATGTTCATAAAAAAGGAACGCATTCTTACAACTGTTTTGGTGTGAAGCATGACCAAATTGCTCATCTGCTGTTTGGTGTCCTTTCACTTTATTTTTATCCTGAGGCACAGCGAGACGCCCAGCAGTTTTAACTTTTGAGCTATGCGGCACAGCATACCTGCAGGCGCTGCTCACACTGCCATCTAGCGACAGGAAGTTGCGACGGCGCGCAACCTCTTGAAGTGTATTTACCGCCAAATAAGCAATAGATTCCTCAATGGATATGCGAGCGTTTGCAAGCTTGCAGGCTAAAGAAACCAACTTTCTTCGTCGGCTGCCAGAACGTTCAGACTTCAGTCAAAGCTTTCTATACATGAGGAGAGAGGCAGTTTTTTTGCTGACCCCGCGGGCGGAGTTGGTGTAAAATGACGCCGCTGAGTGAGCTGGTCGCCCGTTCCGCTGGACCCGCTATACCACGGGCCTGCTCCAGAAAATACCAGCAAACCTCCTCACTTTGACGGCAAATCTCAGCCAATGAGCTCCTCCGAACTTTGTGCAATGGAACAAACACAACGATCCGTCATTGGTGGCGTCTGACGGGCGACCGTTCCATTCGATTCCCGCCAGCACTCTGTGAGACAAGCCTTGCAGCGAGCAGCAGCACCGGCAGTCTTACAGCGGTGTCACGATCTCTATCTCTATGTAGACGGTGCGCACTCCGCCGGCTCTGTATCATTCTTTTTGTACAGTTCAGCACTCACTGTGTGACCGACAGTGTTCAGTTCACCCGACTTTATGGACATTCTGTCTCCCACTCGTCTCGTTTCTAGATGTTACACGAAAGAACTGAGCGAAAATGAATCCGCGTCAGCGCTGGGACCCCTGGGACGGAAAACCCGCCGGTGCTGAGACGACGCTCTGCCGCCGCTGCGTTTCTAAGAAGCTTTTTAGCTTTTTGCTCGGCTAGGAGACGAAACAGCCGGCCTCTCCTGCCAAAGCCGATATCGATTGCTGATCCATTTGGGGATAAACGGGGCAGCTTCCGTAAAACTGTGGGTGGTGTGATGGGATAGAGCTCGATGGAGAGACCAACATTGGGTGGAATAACCCTATTTTTGTCAGTAAATAAGCTAATTAAATGAAATATTTTAAAATTGTTTTATTTTCAGATGCCTACATCAAAGCTCGTTGACTGCAAAGCGCAGATCGAACATTGCTTGTGGGTCAGCCTTTTAGGCATTTCCTAGAACATAAATAGCAGTTGGCTACATCACGATCCACTATTACAATGTTTCATTTAAATCATTGCTGCCGGAAACATGGCTCAGTACAACTGCGGCGCGCCCAGGCAGTGTCTGCCATGCGATTTCAGCCCGATTAAACCGACTGCGCGCTGCGCAGCGAGCAATCCCGGCGCTAGGGTGGTTACAACACAGTCATAAAGCGCCGTTCCGCAGTTGCTGGGCTGCCGGGAATCGGTTATACCACTCGAGCCGGTCGAAGATGAACAATAAAACCGACCGTTGTCATCTCAGCGGCAGCTGCCGACCGTTTGCAAATAGAAGCGGCCAGATGCCGCGAAACTGACGAAATAGAGCGAGCCGGACTGCGGTAAGGCGACGCGTCGATATAGCGACTTGCTAGTGTTTGAATACGAAACGACAGACTCCGGTCAAAGGGTCAGTGGGAGCAATAAGGACTTGTGACTTGACTATATGAGCTACGAAGCTCCAGTGTTTCATAGTTCATAACATCCACTTATGCTCAAGGCATAAGAGAGGGAAAAGGAAAATAAAAAGGAGAAGAAATATAAAAATATAGAAAGATAGAAAGATAGAAATATAGAAAGATAGAAAGAGAGAGAGAGAGAGAGAGAGAGAGAGAGAGAGAGAGAGAGAGAGAGAGAGAGAGAGAGAGAGAGGAGAGAGCGGTGAGCGGTAAGCTTTCAGTGGTGAACGGTATGCAATCTATGGCCAGTAGATATGGATAGTGTTGGTCACAGTGGTCAGTGACGCAGTACGGTCAGTGGTCAGCAGACAGTGCTGAGATGGTCGTCAGCGATCAGAATTCAGTGGTCCGCACCTCGCACATGTCTCTCCGTGGCTACCGCCGTGAAAGCTCTAGCCGCGGTGATTATGAAAATGTCATAACGAAACATTGTGGTTAATAATGCATACAAGTTGTCCACTAAATCTCACACCCACACGACGCCTCCATTACCAAGTTCATATGCAGACGAGGAAGCATATTAGTTTATGTGTATCATTGCTAAATAGAGCCAACTAGCGCTGGCTATCCTTTTGTCCGTTCTCAGATTCGCTTACTGTTGTGACCGTCATGGTTGAATATGGTTGAATGTAATATTTAAAACATTTCTTTGAGTACTCACCAGCACGATGCCGAAGATGAGCATGAAGAGCAGCGCGGTGAGGCCGATGACGATGACGGCGATGCTCCATTCGGGGATCAGGTAGTTGTCCTCCTCCTTGGCCACAACGGGCTGCGGCCGCTGCACTGTAACACGGGCACGCCGGCACACAGTCAGCAGTCAGCACGGAACAACGACAATCGGCACAAGGGCCGCGGCCGCTGCACTGTAACACGGGCACGCCGGCACACAGTCAGCACAGAACAACGATGCCTACAGCATGACACATCGGCCACACACAATCAAGTGTACCTATATCAAATTAATACATATGTTTTTTTTAATTTTTTTTTCTGAAAACGTTAATTGTGTTTTAGGATAAGTTTGATAAAATATATTCACGTCATTCCCATTTTTTCCACTACATAGCCATGTCCCCTGTACCTAAATGCGAAATGGTGATTTTGGCATGCATCTTTCAGCATGTATATTGTGAAAAAGTTAACGCTTTACATTTTACAATTACTTACATTTTACGCTTTACATCTAATTCGCTTTATACGTAATTTTTGATTTCTAACAAAAAGAGTGACATTTTAGTTAACAGATGGCTCGTTTTTATGGTGCGAAAAGCCAAATGAAAAGCCTTTCACGTCTTGCTGAGATACTGAAGCCATTCGGACCATTCTTTGGCTCTGGCCGTCCGTGCGTGAGCGACTTGTGTTGACACTTCCGGTGTTTTTGTCCTCTCCATTTCCTGGTCACGTGCCGCTAAAACAACAGAAACATTAGCGGAGCACAGGCTCGCAAACATGGGCCAACTTTGATGTTCCAACCGCACGGCCCGCTTGTTTTTGTTTTAGGAGTGCTGTCACTCAGTTGCACGGGCGTCTCGGAGGACCCCTGCAGGATGGAACCAATCCTGACTGCAATGCCGATTAGCGGTGCCGATGGCCGATCGCTTTCACGAAGCCACCGTCCAAGGTCAGTTGAAAGGCGGTTCAGCCTGCAGGATATCTCTGAATTCAGTTCATCCTTCGTATATTTGCAAAATGCCGCTGGTGGTGCTCGACTTGACGGCTGACTGTCGGCTCGTTTTTGCGCTTGAACGGACCTTTTTAATTTCTAGTACATCCGGTGCTTGTATTTCTTTCGGGTTCCTGTTTAAGTAACTAAAAGTCGTATTAATTAAGAGGAACCCTATTCGTTGGAACTTTTCCTTTTAATCTTGTGAGTGCTTGTACAAGTAGCATAAATCCTAGTCATTTTGATTCTTTTCATCTTAGCAAGTAAAAATGCCATTTCGGCTTGTATAACGGCACGGTAAAAAGAAAATGAAGAAGGTGTAAGCCGTTACCGCAGTACATTGAGACGGCATGCCGGCACGCTGCCACTCAATGTCCAAGAGAGTGCTGCCACTGACTGCATACCACGCCTCAGAAGCAGCCTGCCCGCCGACAGTACCACAAAGAGAGCTCTCCCCCTCTCACTCCCACACGCCAGGCCTGGCGAGCCGCCGCGGCGCCGCAGCGCCCGCGGCCCAGCCCACGCAATGGGGCAATCCGCCGGCACCGGCGCCGGTGGGCAGGGCGACAGCTGCGCCGCGCCCGTCGCCGCCGCGCCACGAGACCACGCCGTGACGCGGTGAGCGTCAACGGGAAAACACTGGACACAAGACAGTGACATTCTCTTAGCCTACGGCCAGTCTGGAGCAACTGGCGCTCGCTCGTGCAAATCGCGACGGCTGCGGATGGCTGCGTTCCGCGGCGGTCAAGGGGCTGCTGATCAGGCCTTGAGTCAGACAGGTGTGCAGAAGGGCGTGCATAACATCATCCCGCGGGTAACGTCATCTCGGCGGAGGGGAGCGCATTAGGGACGCATCTCCGTGCTGTGAGTCACCGCTGGACGGAGCGAGGGAGCGCTGGAGCCCGGAACTGCTTCTCGTGCGGCAATAGATCTGTGCGAGAAGCACGCAGCAGCAGTATCAGCGCTGATACGAGCATTCTCTACTGCAGGAGGTTGACCGTTTCCTGGTCGTGACTATTGCAGCACCAGGAGACAAAGAGCTCGGTGACGGGATCGTGAATTTTATTGTGGCTTATTAGTTATTCAGTTACTAGTTAGTCGCGAACGATGGCGTGCTGAGAAAACTGCTTAAAAACAAAGCAAAAGTAATGGATTTCCACCTTGCTGGAGGTCGTTTTATTGTCACTGCAAAATGAATAGCTAATAGCATAACAGAGATTATTACAATGACAAGAAAGCTAATATAAATATAGCGTTTCTTTTATTTGAAGGTAACGGTCCCCTTCCTGGGTAACTGCTGCCATATAGGCTCTTACATCTAGAGATCTGATGACCAAATCGAAAGGTTCTGATCTGAAGCACCTCGCAATTATCAACGCAACCGAAATCGAGAGTCCACTGCTTTCACTAGAGTGTTGAAATACCTATTCATTTCCACCAAGGAAAATTCATCCACCTCGTACTTTTAATGGTATATCAGTCAGCAATGCAGAACGGCGTGTAATCAGCTTCTGAATGGCCGGTTATTATTGCGTTTGCCTACAGTCCACCCTCCGTGTCTTATCCTATATGTGACCGTCTTGTCCTCTCTTCGTATGCGATGGTGTCTGATCAAAAGACATTTATCATCAGCGATTTCGCAGCTCCCCATATTTTAACATGAAGCTGATAACCTTAGGGGCTTGTCCTAATTTACCCTGCCACTGACGTTTTCTGAAGATTTACCACGACTTTTAAAGCGAGGTGCGTACTGCTTTAACTAATAAAACATTTTCCGCACGTTCAAATACGTGGCTTCCGACATGGCAGCCCGCGCCTTTCCACGTTGCATGCTGCTTAAGCACGCTGCTCGCTATATTACAGCTTCTTTCTGAGTCACCGAGCGGACCATATCCTTACCTCCACTCACCACTAACAAACCAACAATCGCCGCGATCGATGCTGGTGCCGGTGGTGAGAGTGGCTCGGTTGGGCACACGTCACGTCCGACCGGCGGCCGCCATCGAACCCGAGACGACGGCCCCCGCCTCGGCGACACGCACTCATAAGCTGATGGCCGAAATCGATACCCGTTCCGGCACAGCTCTGCAGGAATCGATGCAAACGGGTGTCTCCCCGTGTGTCTAACTGACGGCCCGAGCTGCCCGGAGCGGTCTGTGCCGAGTGGTGAGCGACTGTTGGAGGTGCGGTGTGCAAGACGTACCGACGTGACCCTGTGATAACACCCACTGCCCATAGATTGCCGGTGAATCCGGCGGGCAGCTGATGATGACATGACCTGCGTCGTTCCTCGAAACATTATTCGCCCCTTGAAGAGGCCATCAAACCGAGCGAGCCTTGCGACAGAGCCGTCGGATTGAACGTGTTGTTTTACCGCCGCCACGCTAATGCCCTGTAAAAAGCGCGGCGAGTGTGCCGACTGCAGCCCGAGCCGGCGGCTTATGGGGCTCAGTCGGCTCTGAGCCGACCTGCATAATGCCACCAGCACGGACGGCTTGCGAACCGAACGGCGTAGTTGGCAGGTCCGGCGGCTGCGACACGGGTCCCAGGGCACACAACTGCTGACATCCAGCCAATGAGCAGTGCCTCATGAACTTTACCACTCCGTCTCCACGTGGCTGAACGAGCCAACTGATGGCTGTTTTATAACTCCCCGTCATGACCCCGTACAGCACTGTGTACTCGATGCAAAAAACGGAACACGAAGGATCGTGATTTAAGTCTTTTAACCTCAAGGAGGAAAATGTCACTGAAATGTTGGTCAAATGGCGATGACCGCACCCATGACGTAGAGAAGTGAAAAGCATTGGCACACGGGCGATTTTGGTTTTATTACCTAACTTTTATGTACATTTCGCAGATTAGGGCGCAATGACAAGCTTTGCTATTGGATAGTTGTGTGTTCCAAAAGGCTAATATAAACGTAGTGTAATAAATGACCATAATTATGTAATAAATAGTTGTTAATTGCACCAAGATATAAATTTCTATTTACCGTTACGATTTTAAACTTACCGACAAAGTCGGTGAATCCGGGGTCGATGGAGAGGCTGCCCATCTGCAGCACGGTCTGCTCTTCGCCGTCCGACATCTCCATGGTGGTGGCGCGCAGCTTCTCCTTGAACAGCACGTTCACGTCCTGCGTGCTCAGCTCGCCCACTGCGTTGTTGAGCAGGAGGTAGTAGTCGACCACGACGCTACCCTTACTGTAACAGAGAGAGCATGGCCGGTCAGCGGCGGTACGTTATCGCGGAGCCATGGAGATCATCAAAGATCTGATGGGAGATCACCAAAGACCTGATTGGAGATCACCAAAGGTTTGATGAGAGAAAACCAAAGATTTGATTGTATATCACCAAAGATCTAGTTGGAAACCACGAAAGATCTAATGGGAGATCACCAAAGACCTGATTAGAGATTACCAAAGATCTGATTGAAGATCGCCAAAGCTCTGATGAGAGATCACCAAAATCTCCCAATGCTACATGTATGCACGACATGCCTACGCTTGTTTTATGTAGCTGAGAATTGAGATCACAAAGAAATAAAGATTATAGCTACGCTATGAACTCATACATGATTATTCATTATACATGTCGTCCACGCCACCCACGAGCGATGTAGCTTTGGCTCCGGTGAGATATTTCACACTGGTCGTGGCGACACCGCCGCCGGCTGGAATTTATCACGCGACATTTGGGATCCGTGTGGCCGCACTAAAGTCGTCATGATGTCTTTGGCGATGACGTCACCCACTGAGCCGGGAGCCATCACTTATCACTTTTTAGTGGTTTTATACCCACTGCACGGCCCGCCTCGAAGGTTATGCGGCGACTTTCTGTCGTAAATCTGTTGGCAGCCCACCGCTGATGCATCGATTGTGCCTTGTGGTGAGGTTGGTGTCCGACGGCGGGTGGCTGTGGCTGCTGAGCGCCTCCGTTCTGTGTACCACTGGAGAGTGGTGGCAGTGCCGGAGACGGCCCTAAACCGAATGAAGACATCCCTAAACCAAAGGGAGACAGCCCGAGCCGGATATAGCCCTAAACCAAACGGCCAGCATGAGCCTAATAATATAATAAGCATGCTAATAAGCATGAGCCTAAGCATGGCTGCTGTCTCCGACCCAAGTACGAGCTGGAGACAGCCCTAAACCGAATGGAGACAGGCCTACACAGAGACAGCCCTAAACCACACGGAGACAGCCCGGGCCGGAGACGACCCTAAACCAAATGGAGACAGCCCTGAACAGAGACAGTCCGCCACAACTATCCGGCAGTCACAAGTCGGTTGGCGCAATCATCGACCGATGATGCCATGCTATAGAGATGGTGATGAAATGATGCTGATAAATAGGTAGCATGTTAAATCAATAGTTGCAACGGCTTTTAGTGTAATATTTGTTCTCAACTTGCATGAGCCTAAGATTTCCAATACCGAGATTTCACATGTATTGGATTTAGTGCCCGCATAGCCGGAAAGACAGAGATGAAACGCTAGGAAATGACGTACCTTCCGTTTAAGATAATCAATAAAAAGCTTTTGCCTGCGGCCCATTGTGGGTAGCATGCAGCTTGAAAGGATAGGGGTGCTCGTTGTGGAACCGAGAGCGAGTGTTAGAAAGGTCGTCGATTGTCGAAGCTAATTATCACGTTTTTTCGGAATTGCGACCTACGCAAAAAAGTGTATGTAGTTACCAATTGTTAAAATTTCACTGTGTTTTCCCCTTTTTACATTGTTCCGCCGATAAAACAACACTAATTTAACCCGAAACGATTTATCTTCGCGCAAATTCCAGTGTCCTGACCGGCTGAGCAATAAAACACCGGCGGCAATAAAGAGGTCGTAGACACGCGGTAGGATATAACGACGAGGAGTGCTCAGAGGCTGGACTGATGAGCTTCGAGAGAGAGAGAGAGAGAGAGAGAGAGAGAGAGAGAGAGAGAGAGAGAGAGAGAGAGAGAGAGAGAGAGAGAGAGAGAGAGAGAGGGAGAGAGAGAGAGAGGGAGAGAGAGAGAGAGAGAGAGAGAGAGAGAGAGAGAGAGAGAGAGAGAGAGAGAGAGAGAGAGAGAGAGAGAGAGAGAGAGAGAGAGAGAGAGAGAGAGAGAGAGTCAGGAAAAGGAGGGACGACCCGTCCGGGATTACGTGGTCTGATCAGAGGGCTCCCTGGAGTACACGGCCATTACAGCGGCGGTCAGCGATGTCGACGAGGCGCGCCGCAATGATTGAACACTAAACGCGGCCTCTGCCTGCACGGCTATTGCTCCCGGGCCATCAGCGGCCGATCACGACTCGGGGGGGGGGGGGGGGCACGAGGCGGATCACCCACTGGCAATGGGCCGTGAAGATATCGGCGGTGGCTAGATTGAGTGGGTGCGCGGCCGCAGCTGGCGTACCGGCCGGCTATGGCCGTCATTCCGGTCACGTGACCGGCGGGGAGCGAGCCTCTGAATGCGGGCCGGGCCGGCGGCGCTGCGTGAGCTGCTGACCGGGCGGCGGTCATCTGAGACGCAGTCCGGAGATGGGCCGTGTGCCGCGGCCGGCTCATTGACTCGGGCCCGCGGCCAGCGTCTCTGTTTGCTCGGCGTCCCGATCGGTCCGAGACGGGCCGCTGCGGGCCAATGCTGCGGGCTGACGCGGTGATTGGAGGCCGGGCCGCCATCGGACCGCTCCCGACTGACCCCGGCTGACCGACGGCCGACCGACGGCCGACCGACGGCCGACCGACGGGCGGACAGCCGGCGCCGCCCCACCGCCTGCGACACATCCCGACACGGAGTCTCACCACACCAGCTGAGGCGTCTGGACAGCGCCACTGGGAGCTGAGCAGCGTCGCCACCCCAGTCTCGGTCCTACCTACTAATGGCGAGCGACAGGCGGTGCGACACGCAATTAGGGGGCCGCCACTGGCCGGGGCCGGCGGCGGCGCTGGCGGCGACCCGCGCGCCGCTGCGCCGCCGGCATCGCTCCGTCCCAAGGCCGTGTCACCGAGAGAATGGGGTCGGCTGATTGGACCGACGAGACAATGGCCTTTATTGCGGCGCTGCAACACAATTGACGGCTGCTGCCGACCCCTCGCCTCCGCCCCCTCCCTGACACGAACAGAGATAGACGACCGTCGTTTCGAGAGAGGAGAGGAGAAATTTCGGCGGCGAGTTAATTGGTGCAGGATCCCTGGCAGTTTTCGAATTCGATTGCGCCAGCCTCCCTATCCAATATAACGTGATAGCAGAAGTGCATCGTATTTGGTCCAGGTAACAAGGCAATGTACTTTAGCATCCTCTTATCTGTGTTAAGTTATGAGGCTATGGGTAGTCTCTAAAGCTGCTCGTTATGGTAATGTGATGTGCTGCTCCAGCAGCGTAGTGCGTGCTTATGTCGGTGCAGTATGCTACATTGTTCCACAGAGGGCTAGTTGTTTTCGTGCGCAAACCGTGCGGAACACAAACCACCCCGAATAACAACCCCTGAAAAGCTTACCGTTTTTTAGCAGTAGTAAACCGTAACTTAAATGAGTTATCGGACCTGACGTTATGTTGTTTTGTCTTAAAGGCGAAATTATTGCGTACATACATTCTCCGGCTATGAGCTGTTGATTGATTCAAGCGGCCTAATTTTTCCCCATTATTGGATGCATTTGTGTTCACTTTACTAGCTCCGAGGAATAGTCAGCATGTCTGTGAGGAAAGTTATCTCATCAATTTCAGAATATGCGGAGCATCCAAGTCCCCACCAAATAAACTTATTAAAATGCTATTTAAAAAGGCCATTTAAGTCTCCACAGCTTACCGGCGCTACCATTAAAGCCCCATGAACAGCCCTAACTTACATAATAGCGGCATATTTTCCAATATCACACGGTGAGTGTAGAAAACTTTCAAGAAAAGATCAAGTCATAACCACCAACAGAACTAGCCCGCCTATTCATCCCTAGAAATCCCACCGCAGGCCCTTGACCATCGGTGACCGCTGCTCAGGAAATCACAGCTCCCTGGAGAGTCGGGGACGGCCCGGCGCAGCGCGGCGCGGCTCGAGGGTGGTCTGAGTCACGGACTGCTGTGTCACAGCGCTGTCCGCGGACCGGATATTGGTCCGAGCGAGCCGGGGAGCCGCCGAGCGGTCCCGCCGACAGACGAGGTCGGTCCCCAGAAGGACGTCGACCGCGGCTCGTCGGCTGAATTACACACACAGCGCAATAGTTGGCGAGAGCAAGACTCGAGCGGTCTATCCTCCATGCTATCAAGCTGTCGCTGTTAGTGGAGCTCTTCTCCCTGTATACCTACTTTGTGTCGGTGATGGAATGATTTTACGTTCATGGTCATTGGTCACACTGAAAAGTGTAAACGGTAAAATATAGCAGTGGTCAGTTTTCTCGACAGAAAACAGGTCGGCTGCGGTTATATTTATTCTTCACTGGCCACACAAAAAACCGATGATGTGAAAAAAATTAACCAACTTTACTGATATTTTCACATCAGCAGTTTTTTCTCGTGGGCAGTGAAACTTCTGGTTGGCCCTTAGCCTAAAAATAGCCGCAGCCATCGGTTTTCTGTTGGTAAAACTGGCCATAGAATGGTGACCACGTTTATGCAATCAACCATTCAGTGCGTAACCGATCGGGGGCGACACGTACCTGAACGAGTCGATGACGACCTTGTCGAACCAGACCCCCAGCGGGGACGCCTTGAATGCCTCGGTGAGCTGTGGACCGGAGAGAGGGCAGGGTCAGGGTCTCTGTCAGTCTCTGACTGTCTCCCGGTGCCAATGGCTTCGAGGTCGCCGCCGGGCCGACAGAACCACCGCTGTGACGGCGATGGTGTGACGGTGATGGGTAGAACGGTGGCTGGTTCTGAGAGAAGACCATATAATCACCATGGTATGCGTCACGGGCTAGGTGTCCGTACATGATGTCATGCATGTCCTTGTACTTACAGGCCAGCGAGCTCTGTCCTGATGACCGGTAAGATCTTATCTGCCATCTCGAAAATGACCTTTGATCGGTCCGAACTGTGACTTTTGATTGGTCTAATATGTGACTTATGACCGGCCCAAAGTCTGACACATCACCGGTACAAATTATGACCTACATATAGACCCATTCGAGGTCTGACCGACGGCCGTGGCGTTTACACACGCTAGACAGATCCTAGCCTTAGCAAAGATTGCGGGAGACTCTTACAAGCCACAGAAGAAGTCAATAGGAAATTCCTAGAGATTTTGGACTAAGGTCGACTGATCATCTGTCGCATACCCGACATGTCAGTGGAATCTCTATAGGGCGCCTCGGCATTGCTCATGGGTTGCACAATCACAAACTGCTGGCCAGACAGGCTCGGCCTCTGAAAGGTTCCACCACTGAGTGGAAGCGAGGCGCCATTTACGCCGGCTGTAATACAGCGTGATGAGCTGCCGACATTGCGGATCACAGTTTACCTGAATTGCGACTTCATGGCCGGGCGGAGCCAAATGACCTTGCCAATTGATAGTTAAAGCCTAAAGGTGATTACTCGCCCTTAATCAGGATCAAAGAGATCATCTAAGCTGATCAGGATGAGAGCCAGAATGAGATTACTGTGTTTACAGTTTGAGCATATGCGTTAGCTATTGAAATTTAACGTTTCGACTGTTTTATCGTTCGCTTTTATGCTTTTATCAAGTACGCCATTCAATTCGCTGAGCAAGTATCAAAGAGCATTTGGATACCAACTTTACCACAATGCGTTTCATCCATCAGACAGCTTTGGGCATCGAGGCGATGTTTACTTGCTGCCCGATGCAGCCGTTTCGATGGTTAAAGGTCGATACATTTCACTGGGCCGCTCCATTGGGATCGAGATACGCCACCACAAGAGCGATGCGGTCGCCAACTCCGACAGTCAATCCCTCCCTGCCTCTCCCCTCCTCTCTGGGGTTCGGGACGGCCCAGCTGCGGTCTCGAGGGCTACCGATCGGGGTCGCCTTGTCTAGACTGACTCAGGCTCTTCAACAGCCGAGCAGAAGCCGAAGGCAGCAGCACAGTCCTGAACCGCACCAAGACGCTTTTAGATTTTAATGCAGCAAAGAGCTGCTCTGGAGCTCGTTGATGGTTCATTGTTTGCCTTTGTCATAAAGAGATTAGAGCGCAATTACATCGTCTTTTGAAATGAGGACTGCTGCTATAATGTGAATGAGTTGAAACGATAATAATGAAATGGAAAGAGCTTGCGGGTGTTCCGCCTGATTCTTCTGCGTGTCAATCTAAACCGTCTGTATGCCGTACCCCATCTGACTGTCATGCTGTGACTGCGTCATAATGCCTCTTACGTAATCTGACGATCATAATTTCCTACGCCAAGTACCGAAGAACCGAGCCCACTGATCCTAATGGGTGAGGTTTTATGACACGGGCGTTCGCACCAGTTGCAGACCACCCGCTCCTCTCTCAGTCTCATAGTCGTCTGCCGTCTTCCCTGCTGTCTGACATTACGAGAAATCGTTCATGGGTAAACCTGGGCCCAATTTGGGCCCAGGTTCTGCAACGCAGCTCTGCGTGTCAGTGCTGATGCTGACGACTCAACGAGCCAGGCACCGCAACGAGCGAGCCTCGCGTTGAGCGGGTTGAGCTTCTGTCGGTCTGCGGGGAACAGGCCGGGACAGCCGGGTCGATTCGGCGACGTCCAGGGCCCGCCGCTGTCGGCGGCCAGGTCATCATTAATTTAGTCGCCGGCGATTAGGAGCGGAATCGTCCGAGTGTTATGGTGCTCAGCGGAGCGATCTCCGCGGAATGTGTGTGCTCTGTCGACTGATGACGTCCGGCCGGTGGGAGTGAGAGATGCTCTCAACGGTGGGACGCGTGTGCGGAATTATTTGCCCATGTGAGGAATCGCAAGAGGTTGTTTGAGTTTGGGGAAATTAAACAGCAATTTGTTACATGCACATACAAATATATGAATATAGAGCGCGCATTTTAGAATAAGCGCTAATATGCATGTTCACAGCAACTCCAAAAACAGTTAGTTGAGAATCGAGCGGAATAGCAAGACACCGAAGAAACCGAAATATCATTGTAATGTCTCCGGTCCCGTCCCGTCCCGTCCCGTCCCACCCCGTCGGCTCACCTCGAGTGTGACCAGCTCGGCGGCGTCCTTCCACGGCTCCGTGTTCCGCACTGCCAGCTCCGGCCTCCAGGTGAGGCCCTCCACGATGCGCACCGAGCTGGCCATGCGGCAGTTGGAGCCGCACACGCCAGGCGTGGTCGGCACGCGAGTCGTGGTCGTGGTCGTGGTGGTGGTAGTGGTGGTGGCCGCCGTCGGCAGAGGCGTGGTTGATTTGGTCGTCCTGACCTCACCCGGCACCGTCGGCTTCGGAGGAGGGCTTGGCCAGCCCGTAAACTTCGGTCTGGAATGGATATTGAATGGTGTTTTAACCCTCGCCCGCACATGCCATTTTCCCATCCTAGAACGCACATGGGGGGGGGGGTGGTTGCCACCCCCCCGCGCCATTTCGTTCCTGTTGGAGATAGAGCTTAGCGGTAAAGACCAAAAAGATTCTTTGGGAAGAGACGAATCCAATGATACCCAGTTTTACCTTCTCAGGTCAGTCATTGACCTTCCAGGTCAGGTCAAACTAAAAAATGTTGCTGTTTTGGGTACCGTTTGATATCAAGTGCGCTGCATATCATATACCGATGACGATGCCGTTTTCTGGTGCCAAGCCAGCTAGAACCTCTTTCTCACACTACCCGACCAGGTTTTTGCTGCTGAGGTCATTTCAGGTCAAGTTAGGTCAAGGTCAATTATATGTGTTTGTATGTCTGTGTGTGTCTGTGTGTATACTGATGTGTGCACCGATTGTTTATGTGTCCATATTACATCACATGAAATCATGATCTGAGAAGCTTTTACCAAAAATGCAGTCAAAAAACTTCACAAAAAGTAAATTCCGCTTGCATAAAACGTAATTATCTTAGATGACCTAGGTTGACCTTGACCTTGACCTTGACATCTGTACATCGTCGAACAACATGTTCCATGATAGGTGGGAGGTAAGACTGGTAAAAAAGGCCGAAATCAAGGTGTCAAAAGCTCACAAGGCCCATAGCCAACGCAAGATGTCGAGAATTGGCCATTTGGGTCATGACATGACCTGAAAAACAAGGTCATATCTCCGAAACCAAAAGTCACAGAAACCTGAAATTTTCAGTGGACATCAAGAAAGGATAGAGGAGCAGCTATACGAAAAATCAGCCTTCTAGCTCTAAAAATATTGAGTGCAGAGCAGAAAGACTACCTGGGGGGGGTGGCAACCCCCCCCCCCCCATGTGCGGGCGAGGGTTAATATCCAGCAACGGAAGTCGTGAACAATCCATGACCGATAACAAATCGCATTTGTTGAACTCGATAACGTAAAAATGCAGACAGGTCGTGGTAGTGCAGTGACAGCTTGAAACGAGTGACTCGAGGTATGATAAACTGATTGTGAACTTAAAATATCTAACTGCGATCAAGGAACTCAACTTACCGGTCGCCGAGCCGTGAGAACAGGCCCTTGCCGGGGTTCTCCAGATCGTATGCGGAAGGCGGCAGCGGCGTGCTGCCTCCAGCCTCGCTGCTGTCGTCAGGACGGCCGAGCGGCAGGTTCAGATCCAGTGGCTTCCTCTCCTTGTTGCTGCCGCCCGGGAAGACGATGCCGCCCTTCCTGCTCGGTGCCCTCGTGCTGGATTTCTCGGTGGTTGTGGGGTCCTGGCTGTCAGGTTTGTATCCCGGAGGTAGGAAGGCCGACACGTCCTGCTCCACTACGGTCACGGCCGGAGTTTCTGAGTCACTATCTGAAGTCGTGGTCGATGGAGGCTTGTAGCCCGGCGGCAAAAACGCCGATACATCCTCCTCGACGACGATGGGAACACTGGGCCTAGACGTGGAGGTGGCTTTTTCTCGTGGCTTGAAACCCGGCGGAAGGAAGGCGGAAACGTCCTCCTCGACGACCGGGAGACTGGATTTGGTGGTCGTTTCTGCGGGCTTGTAGCCTGGCGGGAGGAAGGCAGAAACGTCCTCTTCGATGGCGACGACTGGCAGCCCAGAACTTTCTGTCGTGGTAGTTTCCACAGGTTTGAAGCCGGGCGGCAAGAAGGCGGACACGTCCTCCTCAATGATGACCGGCTGCTTCTTCTCACTAGTGGTGCTCACCGACTCCAGCTGGAACCCGGGAGGCAGGAACGAAGACAGGTCTTCCACATCCTGAACCTCGACCTTAGGTGTGAACGTCTGCGGCGGCGGCGTCAGTTTCGGTGTGCTGGAGCTCTCGAGGTCCTCACGCACCTGCTGTTTGAAGTTCTCCGGCAGGAGGTCGGGGTTGATGTCCTCCTCGATGATGACTACACCTCCGTCGGTACGCAGCGTGGTAGTTTCGACCGACTCGGAGACGGGCTTGAAGCCGGGCGGAAGGAAGCGTGACACATCCTCCTCAACCACAGCCAACTCAGCAGCTGACTCCGTGGCAGGCGGCGCCGGCTCCGTTGTCGTCGTGGTCGTGGTGCGTGATCCCGGCCTTCTGCGCGGTGGCAGACGTACCGGCCGCTGGCGCTCACTGTCCGCCCGGAGTTCCTTGCCGTCTCGGTTGGCTCCAGGACGTTCCGTGCTGGAAGCACTGCCACGCAGACGCTCGATCAGGGACTGAACTGCCCGAGGTCGCTCCGGGGAGCCATTGGCGATGATATCCGCCAGTCCTCGGCGAGGACTGGGTGCTCTGCGGGCAGTGGTGGTCTCAATCTGCTCAGTTGTCGCTTCTGTCTCGGGTGCGTCCGTAGCGGCGGCCGTGGTCTCCTCAACCGGGGACTCTTCGTCCTTCAGCTGGCTGAGCAGCGAGGCGAGTCCGCCGCCGCCGCTGCTACTGATGGGTGGACGAGGTCGTCGGGTCGCCGTCGGAAGGCGACGTGACGTAGTTGCCTCAGTCGAGGGTGCTCTTGTTGTCTCTCGGAAGCTGGCCCGCGGCGAAGGTCTGGTAGTTGGTTCAGGCTCTTCGGTCGCCTCATCAGTAGCAGCTGCCGAGGCCTGCTCCCGTTGCTGTTCCAGAAGCTGCTGCCGCAGCCGCTCCCTGAGGGACAGGCGGCGCGGTGCCGGCGTCTCCTTTTCTGGTGTGGCCTCCTCGGCTGCGCCTCCGTCCTGGCTGCGTCCCTGTAGCCGATCCCGGAAGGAGGGCCGGCGCCGTTGGAAGGAGGGCCGTGTGGGTCGTGGCGCGAACGGTGTCGTCTCGCGGGTGATCCGGTTGGTGGGCGGCGCGGTGATGGCCGTGGTGAAGTCCGTGTCGGAGAGTGACGGCTCTGTGCTCGCTGGCAGAGGTGCGGCAGTCGCACTCACGGTACCCAGGTCTACAGAGTCCAGCGACTGAAGTTCGCTGTCGCTGGAGACGGACAAAGGCCGAGCCGTGGTCGCGGTGACATCAGGCACGAACTCGGTCGCTTCGACGTCGGCGGCCGACAACGGCTCCGTGGTCTCCGCAGGCCTGGCAGTTGCCAACTCAGTGGTGGTCTCTGGTTCACTGGTGGCGTCGAACGGTGTCTCGGAGTCGGTGAAGACGGCGTCCCCGCCCGCAGCAGTGGTGATCGAACTGCTCTCGGTCGTGTCGGCAAACTGACTGAGGGCGCTCGCCGTGCTGGCCTCGATACTGTTCTCAGTAACGCTCGGGAAGACATCACCAACTTCGTCCACATAGTCATAAAACAGGTCTCCCTCCGGATAGTCACCGTAGTCAAGCAGCCCTCCGTCTCCAGTGAGGTCCTCGGTTGTGAACGAGGTCTCGGTGGTTGGCGGTGGCTGTTCGCTGGGCGGCTGCTCGGTGGGCTCGGTCGTGCTCCTTGGCCTGCCGAAGAACACGAACGGTGTCCTGCGAGGCGGCGGCGCCGGTGACGTCTGAGGCGCCGAGAACTGGGGCGTGGGTCGGGGAGCCGGCGGGGCGCCGAACCGGCCGCGTGGCTCCGTCAGCTCCGGCTCGAACACAGTCACCTCGTTGGAGCGTAGAGTGGGGCTCTCAGTGGGCGCCGGCGTCGTAGGTGGCCGGTTCACAAACTGGAAGAGCGTGGGGCGAGGCCGCGGCCGCTGCGTTACCGGCGGCGCGCGGAACACATTCTGCTGCTGTTGCTCCTGCCTCTGCTGCTGCTGTTCCTGTGGTTGCTGTGGCGGGAAGCGCAGCACTGGCCGGAACTGGCCGAACTGCGGCTGCGCCGGCGGTCGGAACTGCTGTTGCGGCTGCTGGCGGAAGGCGGTGAACGGCCGCTGCTGCTGCTGCTGAGGGAACTGCTGCGGAGCGTTGAACGGGAACCCAGGCGGCCGAGACTGGAACGACAGGACGTTGTTGTTGAGCAGTCGCGCGCCCTGCTGCCGCTCCCGCTGCCGCTGCTGTGCTGGCGAGCCGAATGCAGTGAACGGGACGTTGTTGGATGCTGAAACACAGAAACAGCGGCTGTTAGAACAAATGACCAGCACCGGCTCCACACACCATACGACCTCGATCAAAGTTGAGCGAATTCAATTCGCAGGGTCTTAAACGATGTTTGTCTGTGTCTAATTCATGGGTTCGGCGATTGCATAAATCGGTAAACACTTATTGCGCTGATTTCCAGAGCCATGAGAGGCGCACAGTATTTATTGCGGAAAACATTCCTTTTCGTCGCTCAGCATGGTGGTCGGTCGCCTCCCCAACTCTCTCTCTCTCTCTCTCTCTCTCTCTCTCTCTCTCTCTCTCTCTCTCTCTCTCTCTCTCTCTCTCTCTCTCTCTCTCTCTCTCTCTCTCTCTCTCTCTCTCTCTCTCTCTCTCTCTCTCTCTCTCTCTCTCTCTCTCTCTCTCTCTCTCTCTCTCTCTCACTCTCACTCTCTCTCTTCTCTCTCTCTCTCCCTCTCTCTCTCTTCCTCACACTGTCTCCCCCGATAGGGCCCTTAAAACCGATAAACTATGCATTTGCAAGCTTTTATAAGTTTCAGCACAACTTTTAACAAAACATCTGTTTAAAAATGCACACGGCTCAAGAAACCATATTCGTTCTCGTCGCTGTAACATTTCGTAATTTAAAACCACTCATATATCTCGGTGGTTAGAGACTCGAAATGCGGAGGTTGATACTGTAATCAAATGTTGGACACATACATTACGATTGTTTTGAAAGAACGTCTACCCCTGTCATCTCAGAAACAAAAACACGCGACCGAGCAAAAATTATTTCTTCCGCAGTCTATCTGGTCACGTCAAGAGGCGGCCGATCGAAAGGAGTCGGCAGGAACAGACTCGGGGCCAAACAGATACCACTTGGAGCCGACCGACGGACAAAAACAGCTCACTCGGTGGGGTGCAGGGCTGGGGAGTGTGGAGCGGGGACTGAGGGAGGCCGTCAGTGGCCAGCGCTGAGCACCATCGGCGGAGACTGGAGAGCGCTCGTGAGGTTATGAGACCGAGGGTCGCCCTCCAGAACCGCTACAAGTAAAAAGATATGAGAGAGAGAGAGAGAGAGAGAGAGAGAGAGAGAGAGAGAGAGAGAGAGAGAGAGAGAGAGAGAGAGAGAGAGGGAGAGAGAGAGAGAGAGAGAGAGAGAGAGAAAGAGAGAGAGAGAGAGAGAGAGAGAGAGAGAGAGAGGGAGAGAGGTAGGAAGAGTGGGAGGTAGGTAGGTAGGAAGGAGTAGTAGGGAGAGGAGTGGAAGTAGGAAGAGAGGATTGATGAGAGGCTTCCGTTGGTTGTTGGCTTCGTGATTGGAAAGCCTCACTCCACCTAAAGCAGTCGGTGACTGGGCGCTTTTCCAACGCCAACGTCCTTAACAGCTTTACTCTAGCATCCACTGCGCGCCGATATGTGACAAAGTCGCACGTGCTCTAATAGATTCTAATGGTAATTCGATATAGCTACCTTGGGGACTTCTTTTGATAGAGCGCTCTTAAGCGTATACCTACATACATAGTCGATTACAAGCGCCACCCAATATATTTGCAAATACACGTTTGCCTTCCACTGATATCATCTGTGGTAATGCAACCATTTGCAAATTAAATTGGATGCCGTCCCACCAGTGGGGTTTCCATATGGACTCAAACGGGGCCACTTGGGAGCACATGAGCTAGTTCCCTGGACTGATGATTGCCGAAATCGATACGGGAATCGGGAGGGGGCGGGGTACCGATGGCTCAAGGCGATCAGCGCTGCCGAGCCTCTGTCCGCATAGAACCGAACAGCGGCAGGGAGTCATCGCCGCGGTGTGACAGACTCCTGCAGACAGGCATTTGGAACACTTAGCTCATTTTGTCTGTCGGCAATGAAATTATTTCAGTGGCTACGGCCACGGGGAAGGCACTAGCAGAGCCAATTCAATTTGTGGCTGTTACAAAGAAACTAATGCTATATGGATGACCCACCGCTTGCCCGTTCTGGCGTCGTGGAAAGACGCGAAGGGGACGTTCCTGTCAATTGAATCGACATTCTTAAACGTTCCGCCTCCAAACCGGACCACCGCTTCCGGTAGCCGGCAGAGACCGAGTCAGTCCTAAACAGATAGGTACAACCCGGGCTGAAGAGCGACTGATACCGCCCTTTGCAGCCGCGGAGGAGATGTATGAGGCTGGCAGACAGCCAGCCGCTCACCACCGAGACATCGCCTGCATCTGACATAGGGGTGCCGCGGCTCGCGCGCCAGCGTTTTAGTGTGCGGTCGGGGCCTCGCTGAAAAAGATAAGGGCCTCGGCCGATGCAAAGGAGAAGCGGAGAGAGGTCAGCTGGCTGGAATGGCCGCAAAGTGGGACAGGCTGACTGACGTCACCGCTGAGCCCGTGACGTCACGGCGGGCAGTGAGAGTGAGTGGGGCGCCGGCGGCGGGTGCGGATCCGGGTGGGGCAGGCCGCGCCGACCGGCAATGGCACCTGCTCGCCGCCCGCACTGGAGCGCGTTCCGGGAGCACTCAGGCGGGAACAATCACGCTGGCTCCTGATGTAATTGGTTGCCGCCCAGCGGCTCCCAGCAGATACGAGCCGGCTGGTGTGCGACACTCCGGTACCGACGCCAGGGGCGCCGTCGGCCAACTGTCACATAGGATAGCGAGCAAATGCAGACGTTGGACAGAGCACGCCGGATAAAAGGGGATAAGACAGGAGACGGCGCATACCAGAAAGGACACGGCGCATACTGGACAGGAGGCGACGTACTTGTGCACCGGACAGAGGAACTCCGAACACCACCAGAAGTCGTTGCACAACGAAATAACAAAAAGCACACGCCTGACGGCTTACAGTGTGCCCGTGCACCCTACCGTGTCCTGAGCTCACAACAGCGTGACGAGGAAATGTCTGCACGGACCACGCCCGGGGTCGGTGAGCTGGCGTCACGAAACCGCCGGGCGCCTCACAGACAGAGCAGATCGTAGCATTCCCATGATCCGTGTCGGAAACTCGGTCCGCATCGGTACGGCTCAACGCCGTCTGCAGCATGCACGAGAGCAAGACGTAAATCGCAGCTCCGCTTCAGGAAAATTGAACAAAGCGAGAATAAAAGCGATTTATTGCATCGTCCCGAGTGAAATTACCATTTGATTTTACAGTTATGCCGTTTGGAATATGTCTCGCCTTAGACCGTTGTGTTCCTTCCGCTGTTCATAAATCTGGTGTCGGAAGGACCGGACGGGTGGCTGGGTGGAGAGAGCACGCGTCGTTACCGGCGGGCGCCGGCTCGCTGCTCCCCTTCCCCCCGCCCCTCCTGTCGAGCTCGGAGCGCTCTGCAGAAGTGGTCCCGCTCAGAGTGCCGCCCGCTCGACCGATGCCGACGAGCGACGGCGACGGTCATTACCGCCTCGCGGAACACACGCAGCGCACAGACATCGCCTTTTCCATCGTTAGCCGAGCGCCGTGCGCCGGCCGATCGGAGCCGGGCCGCTCCGTACCCCCGCGGCCCGCGCCTCTGAGGAGAGGTCGGCCAGGACGACCGTGGCCGAGACACGGACAGCTGCCACGCCTGCAGCCTCTGGAAATGGGTCGGGGGATAGCGCCACCACCGCGCTGCGCCGGCGGACCGGCCTTTCACTGGCGCGGCGCGGCCTTCAGCGGCGCAGCGGCGCCGTGAGCGGCGCGCTATTGACGAATGGTTGGCACAGCATGGAGCGCCAATCTCCGCAAGGATACAGTTGTCCCCATCAAGTGGCAGAGCGTTCCGCTTCAACTGCGGGGCCGTGTGTACCGAGGTGAATTTTATGTGAGCTGCATGTCACTTGCATGTCTACGGCACATGTATACTTCAGTAATTGATATGTAGCGGTTGCCGGTTAGACTGGGCATTAGCCTTGACCTTTGCACGAGATACCGGCCTGCAACGCCGCTGGTGAAATATTCATACGCTTTATATCGTGCCAATAAAAAGCAGGCTCTACGAGATGGCGCAAATGCAAGCCTGCACCATGCGCCTTGCACACTAAATACTGGTGGTAGGCTTTTAATCACGGGCAAAATTTTAAGGATGAGGGCGTATGCATTATAAACTACCGTGTGAAACTGGCCTGAGTCTGAACGGGTGGTCGGTGCAGGGAACAAACCACCTCCTGCGGGTCTGGCCTGGGTTTGATCCCGCATCAAAGCCGCCTTAGTCGCTGATTTCGCCTGTCTCACCCGTAATAGCTGTTAGTTAGACAGACACTGGTTCAAGCCTGTTGGGCACTGTCGGTCTCCACCGGGCCTCACACGCCTATCGTGACCGGCGTTATGCTCGGGTGACGGCCGGGCTCGGCCCGAGGGCGTTCCGGAGGTCAGAGGTGACACCGACTCCGTTCACACCCCGGGAAGGTCAGCTCAGCCATGAAAGGCGCGCTGCACGTGTGGGAAGTGATACCGGTGCAACGCCACGGTAAAAACGTACCGCTATGTCTGCAACATTGCCCTCGCAGTTTCATAACATAACCTCGAAACGCCATTACGTTGATTGCGTTTACATGTATCGGTGGGTATTCAAAAGTAATAGTAAGTCACAGATAAATTGATATTAGACACGGGCAGCGTACGATAAAACGGCGATTTTTATTTGACTGACAGACTTCAGTTCGATTCGCAGCAAGTTTTTGTGTGCGATCGATGGCTAATGCCTGATAATTTGTGAGTCTTCCGCAGACGCGAGAGGCCCACCCACACGCAATGATTGCTGGCACTGGTGGGTATACATCAAAGCTGAAATGGCTTCTACAAATGCAATATGCATCAAACGGAATGGAATGACATTTGCCTTCCATTGAAGCCTGCTTATCAATTCGATGAGATGTTACACGATTCCATCTATCTTTTTACCGTCTACAAATCCAACAGTTTCCAGCGACGGTTTGAGCCCTTAGCCCACTTCGTCGTGTCGCTCGTCACATACCGACTCCGGACTGGCCCGGATCCGCAGGCAGAACTGGCTCCGGACTGACTCGTACCCGCCGGCAGTGGCTCC